AAATTTATATCTTTATGTTTGAAGCCTGAAATGTGGCAAAAGGTTGAAAAGTTCAAGGGGGCCGAATACTTTCGCAAGGCACTGTATATATAACATTACCTACTGTACAGTACGTTGGACTGTGTGTCGCTGTGAAGTTTCATATCAATAGATGTATGGCTTGTTGGGAAGGTCAGAGCACTTTCTTTCTATGCGTGTGGCTATAGGAGTCATTGATGTAAGACTAGATATTAAGATTCTATCTGATATACCAAATTAGTTAGGTAATAGAAAAATCCCACTCATTATATTTGCATAGACCTACAAATCTAATTTTTTTTGTATAACACCTAACAATAACTTACTTCCACATGCTCAAGAATGATAAGATGGAAAAAATGTAACATCTAATCCACTGAAAGACATTTAATTGCTACAGTATTTAGTTAGCGTTCGCGCCGTTTGCACTGTTTGCTCTACAGTGCCACCTGGAGGAGCACTGCTTCTCTCACTAAAAGCCTGCAAGCTCTTGGCAGGTTACGAGAGTTACTGTAAATATCTACATGAACCTGGTTCTCTGCCAGTTGTGCGTCATCACTTGGAGAATTCCGATCACTTGATAACTGAACCTGGCTGGAAAACACATCATCTGGAGATCACCTAGACACGTCCCAGGGACAGTATTTACTTGATGAGCCACTTGCGATCTCTAACATTGTCTCTTTCTGATGTCCATTAAAATATTTGTTTTATTTAGGAGAGAAAAAAACACAATTTTTCTGTTTTTCTGCTCCTTTCTTGAGTCACAGAGTTCACCTTTTCTCACATTTTCAAATTCATACACACATGCAGAACTGTCATTAAACTGCTAAAAGAAATTAAAATGCCTGAGGCTTCCAAAGAAATTAAGTCACATAACAGGCATGTTTATGAGAATTACTGACATAGATATCTGGTGACTATATCCTACACACTTGTGTTTTTGTATTCATTCTCCCCTGACAAAATAAAGCTCTGATCTCACCTCTGAGAATTAATGCCTTGAGATGAGCTTAAACATTGCTTCATGTTAATTTGAGCATACCAATTTGCAACAGGCTATATAAGTGCTTGGAACCAAAGCATTTTAGTTTCAGGCAGCAGTAATACCAGCAGATTGTGATGTGGCTGCTTGCAAAAATTGTTTTCCTTGCATTCTTCACAAAAGCTGAAAAGCCTATTTGTCAGCCTCATGGAATACAAGAACTGCTTCAATTTTCAAAAGAAGGGGACATCACATTAGGAGGCATTTTTTCATTTCATAAAAACCCAGTTATTGAGAATCCAACATTTAGGGTCAATCCAGGACCCATGAGATGTGAAAGGCAAGTGCTGATTTTGTTCCATTATTAAATCATTAAAAAGGAAAACAAAATGCAATAATGTTTGTCCATTAAAAAATGAAACATGCTCTAACACCAAAGATTACATTCCACTTATGATATAATAAAGCATTTTTTAAATTCTTGTCCCCACAGTGTATATCCAGAGGAATACCAGTTTGCTTACACTATGCTTTTTGCCATCGAAGAAATAAATAATAGATCGGACATTCTTCCTGGCATCTCACTCGGTTATAAGTTATATGATTCCTGTCGCTCCATAACACTGTCTATAAAAGCATCACTGGCTTTACTGAATGGACAAGAACAGGAAATTCTCTCAGCTCAGTCCTGCAGCAAACCATCAACTGTCTATGCCATCATCGGACACTCTAGCTCAACACCGACAATAGGAATTGCTACAACTGTTGGACCCTTTCACATGCCAGTGGTGAGTAAATTACATGTTTGCTTTAAATGAAGGACAGTACATGTACGTAAAAAAACAGCTTTCTGTATGTGTGTTAACAATGTATAGAAGTGAATTATACATTGTAAAAAGTAAAAGACTGATCAGGACTATGAGCCAAAGAGTAGCCATAAGGAAAAATGAGAATGGGTGGAGGTAAAAGGGGGCTGAAACCCGAGAGACGATTTGTTAGGGAAAGTGTGAAAGGCAGAAATCTGGAAATGAAAGGAGAGGTTTAGAAAAAAATAACTTCCCATCGCCAGTTCTCTGCTTCTCTTTTTTTTTCTTCTCTTTATACACTTCTTTGCCACATAATCATACTTTCCCTTTCTGACTTTTTGCTTTACAGTGTGGAATTAACCTCTATTTTTTCCTTTGCAGAGGACAGTTCAGATATGTGTGTGTATTCCAAATAGAATGTTGTTTATATCTCTTAGTTACGTTTTACAATACCTGCAAGTACCATGATACAGTAGGTTCCTGCATTTCCTGTGTAAAATTATACATAATAAAAAGCACAACAAAAAGTGTCAAATTATACAGTTACTGTGGATAGACTGTATTGCATAGATTTAGATATTGATAGAAGGACTGACACAGGGTTTTTCTAAGATCTTTTTTAAAATTATTAAAATGACAGAGTACTCATCTCGTTTGCTGCAGATCAGTCACTTTGCTACCTGTGCCTGTCTCAGTAACAGAAAGGACTTTCCCAGCTTCTTCAGGACAATTCCCAGTGATTATTACCAAAGCAGAGCAATGGCAAAGCTTGTGAAGCACTTTGGATGGACCTGGGTTGGGGCCATTAGAAGTAACAACGATTATGGCAACAATGGAATGACTACCTTTATACAAGCTGCTCAGCAGGAGGGGATCTGTATTGAATATTCAGAAGCCATTTACAGAACTGATCCGAGGGAGAAATTCCTTGATGTTGTAGACATAGTTAAGAAATCAACATCAAAAGTAATTGTTGCTTTTGTTGCAGATAATGAAATGGATCTACTAGTTAAAGAATTAATCATTCAGAATGTCACAGGCTTCCAGTGGGTGGGCAGTGAGGCATGGATTACAGACAAGAACCTTGCAAGGGCAGGCTATACAGTCCTGGGTGGGGCTATTGGGTTTGCAATTCCAAATGCAGACATACCAGGACTGAAAGAATTTATTCTAAATGCTCGTCCATCAACCACACCTGGAAACACAGGTTTGAATGAGTTTTGGGAGGACATTTTTAATTGTAGTTTTATATCTGTGAAGGCAAGTGTTAAGGAGTGCACAGGAAAAGAGAATTTGAGAGAAATAAATAACCAATTTGCTGATGTAACTGAACAAAGGATATTGAATAATGTGTATAAAGCAGTGTATGCAGTAGCTCATTCACTACACAATCTGATGAAATGCCAAATGGAACAAAAATTCTCTAAAAGAGAAATGTGTGCAAATCAAAATAAAACAGAACCTTGGCAGGTAGGTACAAGTATTGAATTCTGAATGTATTACAGTATCTACATTTAGAGTTATTTTAAAGAATAGTTTCAATTAATATTTAAATATACAGTGTAAGGACTGACATTCATCATTATTTATATTCTTTCAGGTTTTACATTACTTGAGAAAAGTTAATTTTACAACTAAGAATGATGAGAATGTATATTTTGATGAAAATGGAGATCCAGTGGCACGGTATTCATTAGTAAACTGGCAGCTGAAAAAAGATGGACTCACATTTGAAATTATTGGTCTGTATGATGCCTCTTTACCAGAAGGACAGCAGTTTAAGATGAATGGTGTCAGTGCTGTGTGGGCAGGTGGTCAGGAAAAGGTAAGGTATTCTTACATATACTGTACATTCTTTGTATAATGCAGTAGATGATCATGCATTCTACAGTATATAGACAATATGGACAAAAATAAAAACAAGAAGCCACATAATAGTGGCTTATAAATATTAGAGTTCAGAATAAACATGTAAAAAATAAAACAAAATATTATACATCTAGCTTACCAATAGCTATTTTTAAGTAAACTATATAAAACTGAATCAAAGTAATGTACTATAGGTAACAAAGTCAGTGTGCAGTGAGAGCTGCCTTCAAGGGACTCGTAAGGCCATTGAGAAAGGGAAGCCAGTCTGCTGCTTTGTCTGCATCCCCTGTGCAGAGGGAGAGTTCAGTAACACTACAGGTATGACGTGGCAATACAGCAAATCTAATGATTTAATGATTCAATCAAGAAAGCCATCATTCCAGCTGTTCTTCATTTAGCAAGAAGCAAGAAGCATTAAATTTGATTATATCTTCAGTGAGTTTATCATCTGAAATGGCACATGTTCCATGCTTCAAATATGTTACCACTTATTTATTTATAAGGACTTTTAGATTGAATGCAACAGATCATTTTCTGCTAAAACAATATGTTTATATTTTTTCTTTCTTCCATTTCCAGATTCACCTGATTGTTATAGGTGCCCCTTGGAATACATATCTAATGAACAAAGGAATCAATGTTTATTGAAAACCTTTGAATTTTTGTCATTTGGAGAATTAATGGGAATATTTTTAGTAACATTTTCAGCTTTTGGTTCTTGCTTAACCATAGCTGTAGCTTTTATTTTTTTCCGATACAGATTTACTCCAATAGTAAGAGCCAATAACTCTGAACTGAGTTTTCTTCTGCTCTTTTCATTGACTCTGTGTTTCCTCTGTTCACTTACTTTCATTGGCCAGCCCTCTGACTGGTCCTGTATGTTGCGCCACACAGCATTTGGGATCACATTTGTCCTGTGCATCTCTTGTGTTCTGGGGAAAACAATAGTGGTGTTAATGGCCTTTAGGGCTACACTGCCAGGCAATAACATTATGAAATGGTTTGGACCAAGGCAGCAGCGATTAAGTGTTCTTGCTTTAACTTTCATACAGGTATTGATTTGTGTATTTTGGTTGACAAAAACACCACCTTCTCCTAAAAAGAACATGAGCTACTACAGAGAAAAGATAATTTTGGAATGTGATTTAGGATCACTAGCAGGATTCATTGCTGTGTTAGGATATATAGGATTCCTCTCTGCCATGTGCTTTGTGCTCTCTTTCCTGGCTCGGAAGCTGCCTGATAACTTCAATGAAGCCAAATTCATTACATTCAGCATGCTCATATTCTGTGCAGTCTGGATTACCTTTATCCCAGCCTATATCAGCTCTCCTGGGAAGTTCACAGTGGCTGTGGAAATATTTGCAATTTTAGCATCAAGTTATGGGTTGCTTTTCTGTATTTTTATGCCAAAATGTTATATAATTTTACTAAAACCTGAAAAAAATACAAAAAAACTTTTGATGGGAAAAGTGTCCTCAAAGGCACTGTAATATTCACCATGTGTTTCTATCTATAATGTTTTACCTCATATTCAAAATTCTGAATTCCAAATTACCTTTGACAGTTTTTCACAGTAAAAAAGAGGAACTTAAACTATTCTTAGTCACTAACATTACTGTTTTAGTCACATTTTAAGTTTCCTTGCAGCTGACTCCTCCTTTTTCATACTTCCTTCTTTTTTAAGGTGTTCTAAAATATCTTACTCATATTTTCAATTTCTCTGTATGATTCCACAATAAATATTCTGTATATTCTTATCATGTTGTTTCTTTACGTTTCATGTCTGCCTATCCACAAATGAAATCTCTAATTATAAAAGCTATAGGATGTTCATAAGAAAGGTAGTAAATTAAACATGTGGCATTAAATTTGGTAAATTACACATTATCTAATTTGGTATTTATAATAGCTAATTATTCTGATAATCCCATCACTCTTCTCTTGAGAGATGCCTTGGTGTCAGCTCCAATAAAATATCTGATAAGTTTTTTTCTTCAGATAACTTGTATTTCCTCCAGTCCAGTTCACCTGTACTAAGTCAGGATGCTTCCTATCTAGCAGAACATACTGTAGATTACAGACACTCATACAGTATATATTGATAAGGATTATGGTAATGTGAGCACTTATGTCGCTCTTGTCCATTCACCATGCTAGAAAGCCAAAGTTTTTTAAGAGAATTTCACTTTACAAATATAGTCAAAGTAAACAGTTATGCAAAGTAAACAGTTATAAGTGTTTTATACTTATTAGGACTTCAGTGGAGCTTAAGTGTAACCAGTGAAATGGGCTTATACAGTATACATGCTTAATAAGGAACTATGTCAATTTTTAACTATAGTGTTTTTGAAGACTGTAATGGCAAGGCACATTATTTCACTTAGATTTACGTGTTACGAAAGATTTCTAATAATCTTTGTGTTGCTTTGACAAGCAGCTTCAGCTTGTCTGTGAATGCAGGAATGAGGCTAAGAGGCCCTTCTGATAAGAGACATAGTAAAGCTGTGTCCAATGCTGTAAAATCTAATGAAATTTAGTGCATATGGGTTCCAGTGAGTCTGTAGTCCATTTCTCCCCAAGACCATAGGGTCAAGGAAGCATTTGGCCTGTCTTTTTCATCACCCAAAGGAAGATCCACCTATGAGGGACACGCAGGATAGGTACCTGAGTCTAAAATAAGTGGCTTCATACACTTACTACCTGATCTGTCTCCATCTAAACTGGCAATCTGACTTTTCCAAGCAGCCCAAGTCAGTACTTAAGATGTTCTCCAAGGTGCCAGGCCAAGAGAGTGAGTCAGTAATTTACAGAATTCTGCCCAAGGTATTCTTTCTGCGACAGAAGAAATCTTCTGTTCGCAAACCCACTGTTATCGTTCACCTGATCAACAAAATAAGACAGGTGGACTCTTTTTTTTGTCAACACCCTGAATATCAGAACACAAATACCAACGTATAGCCAGGATGAACCGAGTTCTCCAACCCTTCTGCCTTGTAGCAGGACTCCAAGAAGACAAGTACACACAGATTGACATAAACACTACATTTAATGACAGGTAACGCAACACTACTATCTTCTCCACTCTGTACTGAGACACTCCCTGCACAGAGCAAGCAGCTGCCCAGATCCATTTTCTCATTGGGAAAGTTTGAACTCATCAAGGATATTTGGCTGATTGATCATTGAGAATAAAACTTCTTTATTCACATCATAATTCTTGAGAGTTGAACTATCATACCAAACATGTTCATTGTTTAGTTCATGATAGTAAATGCATATTTACTTGTATCTGAGAATATGAATGTGATGTAATGATATGAGACTGATGAAACCTACAGTATGATGTACACTGTAACAGTTGTACAGTTGATGTGTTTCAACTCTGAAGTTATTAACTCTTCACTCTAATGAGTGAATGATCAACCTTTTGTATCATAGCAGATCGGTTAACAGATATATTCTGTTACATTTATAGTAATGTGTGTTTTTGATGTTACATCATTAAATTGTACATTTTATGTTTAACATCTATGTGTAATGTTTGATTGATTCCTAAAAGTCATCAAATACTCTTGCAATTTGCTTTTAATATTTCTATTCATAACAGTAAATTAAAACCCTCACATCACCACTAGAGCAAATAAAATCCCTACTTTTATACTGAATGAATTTTCTCATAACTCATATCAACAAGACATCCTTAGGCCCTCAAAATGTATTCCATTGTAGATCAATTGTAATTATATTAGTTTATTTTTTATATATCCTTATTTTCAGTCAGGTGGATCCAAAGGGATTTTTTAACTTACTTCTCACTGAAGTTTTAAACACACTTGATGGTATACAGTACTGAAGCCAGTCTGCACCATTGGCCCACGCAGTGGATAAAGAAGGAAGTGAGGAATTATTGGACCAATTGAACTGAAGTGTAAAAACTGCTAGGCTAGACCGACTTTCAAGAATAATAGGATTGTTATGATCAGAAGTATTTAGGACTTTATCAAATTTCACTCACAGAACAGGACATCCTGCAGTTCAGTTCCCAATGTCATTATATTGGGAATAGGTCTGTGGTCCAGAGAGAAGAGTAGATCCTGCTGTTCTGACAATACCACTTCACCTATCAGGTGGTACAGCACTCAGCACTCTCCTCCCCACACTCTGAACAAACCCAGTCTTAGTGTCTCAGTCCTGGGTGAAAGGAAGGGTGCCAGGTATTATATCATACAGTAGGGAAAGACCCATCAGGAGAAATGGAGAAATCAGTCTTATTTTTTACTGATTTAGAGCAGTTTATCAGGTTCTGGCTTCTCTTTCCTTCTAAAAATATGATTTTCATTTACATTTCTATTCTATGTGAAATTATTAGCACTGTATTCTGGTACAGCTCCTCTACTCAATTATGTTACAGCATACAGAACAAAAGAACTGTATATTCTTTTTAAACCTTGTGTATGCCAACGAAAACAAGCAGTAGAGTTCCAACCTACTGGGATAATAAGATAAAAATCTGATAGCATCCAGGAAGCAATAACAAACATATTTATCATCTCACACATACATGATACATGAGTACAATTATTTTTTCACTTTGAGTTGATTAATGCATAGTTCTCACCTCTGAGGATAGGTGCTTTGGTGCGAGTGTGAACATTGCTTCATGTTGAGCATGGGAGATTTGGAAAGAGGTATATAAGTGCTGTGAAGTAAACAATTGTAACTTCAGACCAGAGTGGAAGGAACACTTTACAATGCTGCTCCTTGCTGAAGTGGTATTAATTGCCATTTTTACAAGAGCTCAAAGACCCATTTGTGTGTCGTATGGAACAGAAGAACTGCCTCAGTTTTCAAAAGAAGGAGACATCACAATAGGAGCAATTTTTTCATTTCATAAAAGCCCTATTATTACAACACCAACATTTAAAATCAAACCAGGACAAGTTATATGTGATGGGTAAGTGATTTCCTTTACTGTTTTCTTTTTTCCATATATCTTAACTTCAGAATCTGACCACTTTTAATTTTTTCAAACTAGAATTATTATTATTATTATTATTATTATTATTATTATTATTATTATTATTGAGACATGTGAATTAATCCTTTCAGATTAGCTCCGGGAGAATTACAGTACGCTCAGACTATGATATTTTCCATTGAAGAAATAAATAACAGTACAGACCTTCTTCCTGATGTTTCCCTGGGCTATAAGATATATGATTCCTGTAGCTCAATGAGTAAGGTTGTACAAGCGTCACTGGAATTAATGAATGGATATGAAATCGGATTTTTATCTAACCAGTCCTGCACCAAGACTTCTAATGTTCAAGCAATTGTAGGACACTCTGGTTCCCAATCTACAATAATTCTTTCAAGAATGGTTGGACCCTTTCATATCCCAGTGGTGAGAAAAATATATTAATTTCATTATATAGTGCATCGTTTTTATAGATTGGGTGGAAACTTGTTTTCATACATTATATTTCTTTATGATTTTGTATTTTGGCTATTTATATGGTTTGTAAAATGGAGGTATAGTTCAGACTTCCTGCTATACTGGAATAATAATAGATGCTCTCACAATTATTTAAGTATTTATACCAAAAGCTAGACATTTAAAGCTTAGTATGTTTTGAAACTATCAATATCAACATATTTTAAAGAATAGATCAAGAGGGAAATTGTGACCCCAGTGCCGTTTAAACTATATTGCACTATGATTGATTTTAACACAGCTGACACTGAGGTACTGCAGGGGTAAAAGCAGTAAAAATCCAATATATCACCATGTCCTGATACTATTTTACCAGTCAAGCTCCAGCAAATGGGGGATGATACAGTTCATAGATGATGTGTTTTACTTCCTTACTCTCACTTAGATTTTGAGCAGCACCAACAGATAGGAGCATGACAACTGTGACAATAATGTTTTTAAATGTGAACAGAACTTAATAAGGAAACAGCAGACAAATCAGTAACTGGTTTTGAAATGATGGAGATTAGAAGAATACAAAGAATCAATGGCTTTTTAAGATATATCCAACATTCATTTAGAAAAGGCATTTTTTGTTTACTAGAATTGCTAGAATTCTTTAAACTAAAAATTAGTACATAAAACTAAAGAAAATGAACTATATTTTAATTTAGATTTAGAGAAAGTCAAAATCATGACTTGAAAAGACACATAGCAAATACAACTTTGATTATGAAAGTGATTCACACTGGCAATAGGGACATAGAGTATAATGTTATATGTATAATATTATAGGGGTGATGCTATGTTATTATCAAGACCATGATTTGAAGCAATGAAGAAGCAAACACAATATGCATATAAGCAAAAGGTGTGGAATTTAAAACCCTGTCTAAATCTTAAAATTCACAAGTAAGACCACACTTAGAATATTCAGTTTTGGTCAGGTTGATGACATTAAATATCTTCAGTCTAGAACACAGCAGATTGAGATTAGATGTGTTATTAGTTATCTTATTTTGTAAAAATATTATATTATAATACAGCAAGATCTGTTTAGTTGCTAGGAAGTATCAAAACGTTTCAACCCTTGAGTTGCAATTTAGAAATTAGATGTGTCTGACATTCACTGACGCTGAGAGACACAGCAGCAGACTCTCACGATGTGAAAGTAATCACAGTAAGATGTCAATAGATGTGTATGGTATTCTGAAATAAATGAGTGTCATTGTCAGCTCCTTTCTGCATATGTCACATTGTCTTTTAAACAAAACAGTATATGAGCGCAAAAAAAACTTAATCTTGATTATTTTTTCAGCTTTTAACAGTTTTTTTCAACAGTTTCATTAATAAAAACACAAATATAATTTGCTTGGTTTGGAATATGTAAATGAGATTGGGTGTATGTTTGCATGAGTTCTGAATACATTTTATTGAATCATCTTTATCATCTTATAGATCAGTCACTTTGCTATCTGTGCCCATCTCAATAACAAAAAGCATCTTCCCACTCTCTTCAGGACAATCTCATATGCAATCACAGTGCTTATAAGACAAATATACACTGTAGTACCATTAATTATACATCTCCTTACTGCAATGTCCTATTAAAATTGATATTGATGTACTCATATTGTAGTGTGAGTCTCGCTGTGGGTTAGTCTTGATTGAATCATTCAATAGCAGGTTGTTAATTAATAAAAAACATTAACATCTAAAGTTGCTGCATGTGTTTTTTGTATTTAACCTTCTTTTTCTTGCTGCAGATCAGTCACTTTGCTACCTGTGCCTGTCTCAGTAACAGAAAGGAGTTCCCCACTTTCTTCAGGACAATTCCCAGTGATTATTACCAAAG